GATTCTGTTAGGGAAAAACCCACAAATGGTCTGGTAGCACTCGATAGACTAAGGAAACAAGACCAAGTTTCTCATGCATAGAGCCTCCTGAGCGCTACTAGGCTTCTTTGCCAACCGGGGCTCTTTAGGGTGTGAACGCTTTGGCTACGTCTACACTGGCACCCTTTTCTGGAAAGGCTTCAAACGGAACAGTTTTCCGTTATACTGTTAGGGAAAAACCCACAAATGGTCTGGTAGCACTCGATAGACTAAGGAAACAAGACCAAGTTTCTCATGCATAGAGCCTCCTGAGCGCTACTAGGCTTCTTTGCCAACCGGGGCTCTTTAGGGTGTGAACGCTTTGGCTACGTCTACACTGGCACCCTTTTCTGGAAAGGCTTCAAACGGAACAGTTTTCCGTTATACGTATTTCTGGAAAAAGCGCGTCTACATTGGCAGGATGCTTTTCCGGAAAAGCACTTTTTCCGGAAAAGCGTCCGTGGCCAATGTAGACGCGCTTTTCCGGAAAAAAGCCCCGATCGTCATTTTCGCGATCGGGGCTTTTTTGCAGAAAAGACTACTGTGCTGTCTACACTGGCCCTTTTCCGGAATAGTTTTTCCAGAAAAGGACTTTTGCCCAAACGGGAGCAGCATAGTTTTTCCGGAAAAACACTGACAATTTCACAGTAGATCGTCAGTGCTTTTCCGGAAAAGCAAGCGGCCAGTGTAGACAGCTGGCAAGTTATTCTGGAAAAGCGGCTGCTTTTCCGGAATAAGTGGCCCAGTGTAGACACAGCCTTTGCGTATTTCATTTCAGCATGGGGCTGCATGGACAAGAATGCATTTCAGGCTCTGCACCCACCAGCCGCGATACAAACACAGGTCCTGCATTCTAATCCGGTTCTGAGAATTAGCCGCTGCAGCACGTTACACCTAGAAGAAGCGTGGCAGGTATCAGTTACTCACAATAACTGTCAAGGCCCTGAGGATGTAGGCTGTTGGCAAACGCATCATCTTTGAAGTGGATGGAAAATCTTGGTGAACAGACATGAGGGTGTTGAGACCAGGGAGAAAAGCACCAGCCAGAGGAGCTGGGGTAGGCGCCTATGAAACTCCTTCCCTTCATAATAGAAGGCTTTGCTATACTCACCCAACGTAGCGATGGTGGAGGAGCTTCCTCCTCCTGTGAGTCCCATGGCTCTCTAGTGGAGTCCTGGCTATGTGCAGGAGCTGTGGCCCCATCACACCACTGTGGCTCAAAGCCCAGCCCCATGACAGAGAAAGGGGGGGCAGGCTGGCAGCACACAGGGCACAGTTCTCCCTCGGACGTTCCTGAAAAGGGGGCCTCACATGCGGAGCACCGTTTGGATTTGCTGCGGTGCTTCTGCGGCGGATCTGCCATTCCCAGGTGGGGCCGTGCCGGCCGGAAGGGTGAAAGGGAGGAAACCCTCCGTGAGCCAGTGGAAGGGAAGGAGACACAATTTAAAACAAAGGCAGCTGCAGTAGTTTCCTCGCTGGAAGCAGAAGATGGTTGGAAGTGAGGGGCGGGGCAAGTTCCTAGGCAATAGAGCTGCGGGGCCTCTGAGATCCACAAGGGGGCGACATTGCCCATATGTGGATTCCTGCCAGGAAGTAACAGGTTCATACCATTGCCTGGTCAGCACTAGAGGGAGACGGTTGCATGCACCATGTCTCCTATTACACCCAAATATCTGCCGTGGGGTTGGAAACACCTTGTTTTGCCTGAAGGCCTGAGAGACCCTTTGCATATTATTAAAGTCCATGAGCAAACAAAACCAAACTTAAAATGCAAGGGTGGCGCCTCACAACACGTATGTTACTGGAGGCTCCCTTTTACTATAGGAGCCTGTGACTTTTACTGGGACTTTGTGCTGCAGTCTAGCCTTAGAGAATCATAGAATCACAGACTTATAGACTCCTAGGCTGGAAGAGATCTCAGGAGTCGTTGAGTCCAGCCCCCTGCCCAAAGCAGGACCAGCCCCAATTAAATCATCCCAGCCAGGGCTTTGTCGACACTTAAAAACCTCTAGGGATGGAGATTTCAACCCCGCCCTAGGGAACCCATCCCAGTGCTTCACCACCCGCCTAGGGAAATAGTTTTTCCTCATCTCCAACCTAGACCTCCCACACTGTAACTTGAGACCACCGCTCCTCCTTCTGCCATCTGCCCCCACTGTGAACAGCCTCTCGCCATCCTCTTTGGAACCCCCCTTCAGGAAGTTGGAGGCTTCTCTCAAATGCCCCTTTCCTCTTCTCTTCTGCAGATTAAACAACCCAAATTCCTTAGCTTCTCCTTGTAGGTCATGTGCTCCAGCCCCCTAATCATTTTTGTTGCCCTCCACTGCACTCTCTCCAATGTGTCCACATCCTTTCTATAGTGGGGGGGCCCAGAACTGGACACAATACTCCAGATGTAGCCTCACCAGTGCCGAATAAAGGGGAATAATCACTTTTCTAGATCTGCTGGCAATTCTCCCACTAATGCACCCTAATATGCCATTAGCCTTGTTGGCTACAAGGTACATTATTGACTCACATCCAGCTTCTCATCCACTTTAATCCCCAGTCCTTTTCTGCTGAACTGCTGCCTAGCTAGTCGGTTTCTAACCTGTAACAATGTTTGCGATTCCTCCATCACAAGTGCAGGTCCTTTTTGAACCTCATCAGATTTCTTTTGGCCAAATCCTCCAATCCTCCTGCCCTCCAAAGTATCTACCTCTCCCCCTAGCTTACTGTCATCCACAAACTTGCTGAGGGTGCAATCCATCCCCTCATCCCGGTCATTCATAAAGATGTTGAACAAAACCGGCCCTAGAACCGATCCTGGGAGCACTCCACTTGAAACTGACCGCTAACCAGACATCGAGCCATTGATCTCTACCCGTGAGCTACAACTCCCATGAGCTCTTGGGAAAAAGGAGGGAACGGTGGCTCTACCAGAGAGGGAGAGAGAGAGTTTGTGAGCTGCATTTTGGAGAGATTGCTGGTGGGAAGCCTTTTTCTAGTCCAGGCGCTGCTGCTGGAAGCTAGAGCCTGCTACTAGGAGCCTGCTGGGGCTTGGAGCTAGCTGGGTGCTTCAGGGGCTGTTGGTGTGATTGTCCCTGGAGAGGAGAGATTTTGGCTGTGCCTGTGAAGGGCCTACATAACTGTGCATAGAAGGTACTTTGAGTACTTGTGACTGTTTGGAAAAGTGACTCTGGGTCTGAAGAGAGGCAGAGTGACTAGCTCAGTGAACTGCTGCCATTTGGTGGGGCCTGCTCCAGTGGCAGAGGGATTTTGCAGCTGGGTGCTCATCTCAGACTGACACACACAGAACCTGCCCAGGGCTGTCTCCACTCCAGCTGCAGACCTTTAAGTGCACCCACACAAGCAAGTGAATCTAGAGGAGTGAACACTTGGGTGAGATAAGTGGTGGCAGTGTAAATGCCAGTTAGAGAAGTTCCCTTTATTTTGGTGAACTTTGCTAATTGACTTTATTCACTTTTCATCTGTTAAACTGTTTCTTTACATTGTTAAGTAAAGGTGCAATAATTCTAATTTAATCACTTAGTTGTATATTATTTATAATTGTTTTTGGAGTTAGATCCAGATTATAGCTGGAATAAGTTTATTTCTGGAGGCTCCCAAGGTACACCATTAAGTGTGTACAGGGCCAGCCAGGTGGAGGCACCATCCTTGTATATTACTTTAGGAGCAAGGGACTGCTGCAATGGGGTGGATAGGGAATCCCCAACTATATAACATTACCACTGGGGAACTCAGGATCTCTTTTTATGTTAAAAACATCAGGCCCTCAAGCGAACCTGGCCTGCTCCCCAGTAACCCAGGGAGGAAAGAGGGAGTTTATATTACTTATCTAAGCAGCTAACATAATTGGGACAAAGAACTGTGTGGCAATGTTTTGTGATAGTACAAGTCCTTACAGCATAAGCTGTTAATTTCTTATTGAAAAAGAGGGAAGATACGGTTGGTTGTGTAGAGTATAGTTTTGTTAGAGTTCAATTTAAGAGGAGCTTTTAATCTTTCTTTTGTGAAAATCTCATTTTCACGAGAACTCTCATTTTTCACAGTAGTCTGGTGAACAATGAATTGGTAGAGGAAGAATAAGAATGTAAAGAAATCACCATTTCTGGTGACTTTTCACTGGAATGTCTCACTTTTCTTTGTGCCTCAATTTCATCCAACTTGTATGTTAAAGCAAAATACATTCTCACATGCACGAGTGGGTGACCTCAAGGTGTTGAAGCCGAGTTCAAGTGGGATGAAGCCAGGATCCGTACTGCTTTTGGGCAGCTGCTGGAGATGGGAGTGAAGCATTATAGCCCACTAGAGTGTATGAGCTCTACTGTTGTAGCCAAGATGAAGATGTGTGCAATTCCTTTAATCTTCCCCCTATTTCCTTAGTTTAAGCTTTTGGACGGTGGGAAGTGCCCTGCTGCAAGCTTAAACTGTCACTAACTATAGTTTGTATTTACTAATTTATACTGTGGTAGCATCCAGCGATCCCACTCAGTCTTGGCATCCTTCTGGGACGGGTTCTGCATGGACAAGTAAGGAGACTTGGTCCCTGACAACACAGTGCTTAGAAGCTGAGGCTACTTAAGCAGATGCTTAGTTTGGCAATGAGAGAATTTACATGCTAAAGTTAAGTATGAGAGTCAGTGCTTGCAGGATCTGCGCCTGCAACCCAGCTGGCTGAGTTGAGCATATGACAAGAAGGAAGGATGAGGCTAACGGTAACAGAATCATTAGTCACAAAGGCTAATAGGGAGTCTGACTTCCGGATCATTTTAATTGTGTGTTTTTTTTTCAAAATATGAGCTCTCGCAGACTGATATTAGTGTTAGGTAGGTTGAACAGCAGTATCTTGTAGGCATCACAGACATAGGTGATCTGGAGGAGGAATTTACAACAGGACAGAATACTAGTTTTCTGGCCTTGCACAGGAAGGGCATTCTACCCACAGCAGGAAACATGGAGACATTTTGTGGGAGAAGAAGCTATATCAACAGTCAAGGCTGGCATATTTGATGGAGTGGAGAGAGCAGATACTAACACTCGAAAAGACAAAAGCACATCCATAGGGAGGAACAGAGATGGGAAAATGTAAAATAGATACATCTGTATTGATTATATTACATTGCTCATAAATATTTTTTACATTATGGAAACAAGTCACCACTAATAAAAGCAGTCTAGTCCTTCTGAGGCACGATATCTGGCTCCTTGGAATTAATACATTCATTTTGCACAAAGCAAAAAGGATGATTAAAAGGACAACCGAACAACAACATGGCACAGAGCTATATTTATACAAGCAGGGAAGAGGAGGAAGCTCTGGATACGTTAGTGTAGCAGAGAGGTACAGAGAGCATGCTTTGTACAGCTGTAAGTTTGCTACACCGAGAAACCAGGACTACATGGCTCCTTAGGATTAATTACAAAAGAAAACCAACCAAACTAAAAATCTTCTCTAAAATTCCTCTGGTTCTTTTTTGCAGTCTACTCTGGGATCAGTAGTAGAAACAGCCAAATGCAGCTACCACACAGAACAGACTGTCCTGAGAAAACAAGAGAGAAGCATATTAGTCTTAACAAAAGTGCGCACCTCTCACTAAACAAGTGGCCATGGTGAAGCCCAGCTAAAAGTTATATTAAAGGAACCGTTTGCTATGCAAGTACAGCCTGTTTTCGGCAGAGGAACCGGTCTGCTGAAAGATTACATTTTTGTTATGGCTTAATTTGGCATAAAGAAAATGTGGTATGAATATATTTTAAAAGGCCAAAACCACTTGACCACCAAGATTTTGCCTTTTATTTTAAAAGTCAACGTGTTATGCACTAAAAACTGAGAAATCCTAGTGCTGCAGCTTTAGGGTGTGTCTACACTAGGAAACTTTTGAAATTATTTAAACTGACCTAATAACTCCAGATTTAACAAATTCGAAAGAGCATGTCCTCACTACAGGGAAGCCTCAAATTGAGTCCAAGGTGGGCTCTGTGAATGTGGATGCGCTACCTTGGACTCAGAGCCCCAGGAAGCTCTGGGGAGTCATTAGTTCGAATTACTCTGGGGAGTTATTTCGACTACACTACCGCTATTTCAAAATTAGTGTTATTCCTCGAGGAAAGCAGGAGAACAGATTTTGATATAACCAGCCCGTTATTTCGAAATCATGCTCTTGGGAGTGTGGATGCTCCGCTTATTAATTCGACCTAAGGGGGGTTATTTCGAAATAAAGCCCTAGTGTAGACCAGGGCACACTGTGTAACAGACAAGACTTCATATGAAGGCCAAAGTCTGCCTTTGGATGCTTGCATGCTGCTAATGAAAATCTGTATGCTGCTAATTTAGTCTCACTAAATGGTGAACAAAAGATAAACAACACAGGTTCAAATATTGCAGGGCACATCCTTATAGTATCCGATTCCCTTTCACCCATTTAAAACACTTAGTTTTACAAACACAGTGCTTTACAAACGTTCATTCTTAGCACACCGACATTATCTTCATTTTACAGAGGGGTTCAGTGACTAGTTCAAGATCAGAGGACAGACAGTGGCAAAGCTCAGGATATCCTGGTTTCCAGTCCTATTCTCAAAACCTGGCCTCAGGTAACTTTAACTCTCTGTGCTTTCCAAGGATACTTAACGCCTGTGTAACATGATATGAGATGTTGGATGAAAAGCACTGTATAAGTTCTAAGTATTATACAGGTTGAACCTCTGCAAACTGGGACTCTCCACTCCGGCAATGCCCATAGTCAAGCTGACCACGGATGTTCCAGGACCAGAGAGTCCTGGTGGAGGTGTGGTGGGTAGGAGTCCTGTGGGGTGGCAGGGCTGTGTACTGCTGCCAGCAAGTTGCCAGCGGGGCTGGGAGCTCGACTCCCTGCAGTGGGGCTGCCCAGTGTGCCACAGTGGGGCTGCTTGGTGGGGCTAGGAGCCTGACATGCTGGGAGCTAGGCTGCATAGTGTGGCAGGCAGGGACCTGCAGCCGATCCAGGGCTGGGGGGAAGACAGTAGCAGGGAGGGTCAGATATGACCTGCCCTGGTCCAGCAACATCCATGGTCCGACATGGACCACAGATGTTCTTGGAACACAGAGCCCAGGAAGAGGGTTCTGGTGGTGGGGCAGGAGCGCTGTGAGGGGCGCAGGTGAGTCATCCGGGAGCCCAGAGTGTGTGTGGTGGGCTGGGGTGGGGGGAGAGGAGGGACGGCACAGCGGGAAGTTCTGGCCCCAGCAGAGTTCCCTGGCCCCAGCAGCCGGGGAGCTCTAGCCTGGCTGTGGCCTCTGGCCCCGGCTAGGGAGCTCTAAGCCTACCAGCAGCCAGGGAGTTCTGGCCCCATCCCCGGCTGTGGAGCTCCAGCCGCATTCTGGCTCCAGTGGCCAGGGAACTCCAGCCCCAGGCTCAGCGGCAGCCAGAAGACTCCAACCCCAGTTGCAGAGCCAAGTGGCTGCAGAGCTCTGCCCCAGCTGCGCGGCTCTGGCCGTGGTGCTCTGGCCCTGGCTGTGGAGGGGCTGAGGCAGCAGTAGGGGCAGGCTGGAACCCTAGCCCAGCATGGCCATGAGGGGAGGACCTTCCCTGGTCCGGCAAATCCCCTCATTCGGGCTCAATCAGACCCCGAGAGTGCCGGACCAGTGAGGTCCAACTTGTATTGGTTTTTGTTTTCAATATTGTGTTGGTGCTTAGTACTGATAAATGGCCAGCAGGTGAATGTATCAAATCCACGTCCTATGATCAGAATCTCTACACAAAAAAACACAGAATAGTTTCACTCTATTTTCCCCTGGAAAAATGGCAAATACTCACATTCATAAAAACATCCTGTGCATAGTTGTCCGTGTCAGCATCCCAGAAACATCGGGCAGCCATGCTAAACAAATGAATTGGGACAAAACCATTAACACGGTACACCTGGGGGATAAATGGAGCTATTCATATCTGATCACTGCTGACTCTCCTTGAAAGCTAAGTATTTTCCTGTCAAGAATGCAACCAGGTCTTTTGGATTTGGGAATGTGTCTTTCTGCTGGGTGAAGTTGATTTTTTTTCAGAGAGGTAGGAACAGTATTACTTGCATTTCCCCCACCTCAAACGCTATTTGAGTCAAAGCTCAGGGTGGGTAAACTGGATACCGCATGGCAAAGAACTTAAGGTCACAGGTTTTAAGACAAGAAGGAACCATTATGATAATGTAGTCCACCCTCCCGCACAACAAGCTCAAGAATTTTCTCCCGTGTCTTATTCACCAAGTCAAGGTGCTGGAACCTTTGTAGAAGTGAGGGGGTGGATACTCGAGTTGGAAAGGGGGGGATAGGCAAGAAGCCCCACACTGCACTTTTTAGCATGGCTGTAGTTTGGAGGGCAGGGTGTGGGATCCCCCCACCCCCTCATCCACAACTGGAAACCTTGGACAGTTGCGGAACAGCGCTGGGAGGGGCTGTGCTTTGCAATGTTGCTGCTCACACCCAAACTGCAAACCTCCGACCAGTGCCAGCCCCTCAGTTTTGGTGCTGTTGTATCCAGCTCCACAGCACAGACGTCATCAGATTGGATTACATCATCGGTCCATCCAGTCTGCCTCAGACAGTGGCCAGCACAGACGTGTTTCAGAGACGAGAACCACCACACACTCATACCTCACCACATGTACAAGGCGGGGGAGAGACACTTGTCCCTGACCACTAATCAGCTCTTACAAAGAGGCATGAGTTCTGATTACCCTTATCTATTGCGTTTATCTCCTTCTGGAGCACACAGATCCTGGAGATAGCCTACTTTCTGGGTTGTTCGACATCAGTTCTTTCCTTTTGCTCAGCAATAGTGGAAGCCACAATCTTTCTATGTCAGCAAGTAAGAATTCTTCTCTGATCACCAACCTCTGGGGCCATATTTTCAAGTGCTCAGCTCCCACAACTGAGGCGAGATTTTTAAGAGAATTCTACCAGTTGGGTGCTGAGCTCTTGGGGGCTTAAAAGGGAGCTGGGCACTTTTGAAAATCTGGCCGTTAGTACATTGCTGCCTAACAAGAGGACATAAACTGCCTTGCTTTGCTAACTACAGCAGAGAGAACCCTGGGAAGCAAGCTATTTTTATATATTTTAAGCCCAGAAGGGACCATGGTAAATTATTTGGTCTAACCTCTTGCATAACAGTTGCCGGCCTGGGATAGTAAAGAGCAAGGAGCATTAACTCTTGATGAGAGTGACAAAAGCAAGACATTTGAAATGCACAAAACTTACTTCACTCCTTCACCTCTCTGTTCTCCAATCACAACCTGGACCACCATTTTATATCGGTGAAATCCCTCTTCTGCAGAGTAAGAGGGAGACAAATGAACAGTTAAATATGAAAGCGTATAGAACTGCATTACAGTCACACAGGACAGAGGGACAGAGATATTTTATTTGGTAACTAGAAACTCTTAGTTTCCAGTGGATAGTGAAATGAAGTCTCACTTCCATAAGTGCTAAGCATCACAATCCTGTTCAAACACAGGCCCGGGAGAAGAAAGACTGTCACACAGCCAGAAAAGATTTTATTAAAGCTAATGTTTCGAATAAAGTTGATAGAATACAAGTTAAAAAGGAAGGCGCTGTTGTATATCTGGAATCAAGCTGGGGTTACGAGGAAATACAAGTATCGGTGTATGCAGTTAACGAGATACATAGTGTGCATAATCAGCACTGTCCCAGATTAAGGTGCAATGGGTTTTTGAAGCATCGGTAAATAAGCATCCTTGGTACCAACCCTGCCAATCAGACAACTTTCTAGGATTCAAATACACATTACAACAAAAGTGTAAGGGCAGAAGTTCCCTAGGGAAAGGGTGGAATCTCCATCCCTAGAGGTGTTTAAGTCTCGGCTTGACAAAGCCCTGGCTGGGTTGATTGAGTTGGGATTGGTCCTGCCTTGGGCAGGGGGTGGACTTGATGACTCCTGAGGTCTCTTCCAGCTCTAGGATTCTGAGTGAGGCTATTACATGAAACACAGAAGTTTCAGGTAATCTGAATTATTTTGAAATTGTTCTAATCTTTGTTAGAACGTTATTGCTGTTTCTGCCATGCGTTACTAGTATCTTTAAGTATTAGAGGCTCTCCAGGGCATGCATAGATAAGATCGGAGATACACGACTACAAATGTCTCTGGTTCCATTCCAAAAGCACAGTAAAGGAGTAACTCAAAGAATGGATGATTCCCAATTTGGCAGAGGGGGTGAAACTGGCAATTTGCCAGAAATGCAAGAGCCAAAACAAATTTGCTTCAAACAGAGCAAAAATGCCAGCACGCTACAATCCGTTTGCATCTCAGCTGCAAGATGGAGCGTGGCAAGCTAGATCTGATCTAGTCAATGTCACCTGGAATAAAGAAAGACAACAGACAATCCTGGGGGTGGGACCATTCCTGCCTCAGGGCACCACGCACGTAATTAGGTCCTGGGTCTATTAACTCAACATCCACAAGTGCTTGGACTACATACTTTACGTAATCTATTTTAAAATTAGTAATTCTGTAAAGGATGTTTACTAACTCACTGCTAATGCAGGGACTCGTGATCGTTTGGTTCTCTTGCTGCAAAAGCAGGCAGCAGAGGGAGCACAACCCTATGTCAGAATGATGCTGCAGTCATTGATAATGCTGACTTTCATCTGGACATGGGAAATGTTTCATGGGTCCTGAAATAACTTCTGGAATCCAAAGTATGCAAAGCAGAGTTCTGAAACAACACTGCCATGCTGCAGCATGCCAGCAGTACCTCACAGCGTCATGACCCACCGCTTCTTGCTTCATGTTCCCTCTTACTCCCGGTTCTGTTACTGGTCCTCTCCCTCGGCTGTTCCCATTGAGTCTGACTCCCAATGTGCTCCCTTTGGAATGGAGTCTGATCTTATTTACATCAGGCTAAACCAAACGTGATTCCATTTATGGAAGTGAAGTCAGAATCGGTTTCTTTTCTCTTTCCAGCTCTCAGTTACGCACCTTCTTCCATGCTACCCATGTTCCATGCACTCTACTCCTTCCATGATACTTCCTAAGCTGATCTCTCTCACCAGTGGGTCTATATGTAATCATATTTGTCTGAATTAAATGTTAAGGTCCTCAGGATGAGACCAAGTCTGTAAAGCACCTGGTTTATTAAATGATATTGGATTAGGGTTAGTGAATAAGGAGGTTTTTTTTTTTTTAAAAAAAGAGGAGGGAATCGATGCTAGCAAACAGAAACGAATTAATTCAGTAAAGAAAGCGGCAGTTTCCCCACCAAGCCTCATTACCTTTCAGTCTATCTTTAATTGCGTCTGATAAGGACCGTGTGAGCTGCGGCGTTTCCTCTGGGTTGTACTGAACATTGGCTAGATTCTCTTTCAGTATCGCATGGATGCACTCTTTTACAGTGGAAGATCGGAATCTACGGGGGGAAAAAATCCTAAATCTCAGAAAGTTCACAGGATAGGTTGAAATGTGTAGAGCTGTGTTGGAAAAATTCACCTTTTATTCTTGACAGGTGGAAATGTATGAAAGTACAGGAAAAGTAGAAGCTAGTTAACCAATCTTGCAAAACTGCCCACAATCCACCTATGTTCCAGTCAGGTGATTGGGCAAATAACGTCTATTATTGGATTGTGCCCTTCTAATCTATGTTTGGCAATCACTGTCCACACATACCTTTGCTTCCCCAGACAGTACTGAGGGAACAGTCCTCTGGGGCAATGTCTACCTCCACTTTTCTCTGGACCGTACAAAAAAGGTGTTCAGGGAGCCAGATGGGGGAAGGGGCAGGGCTGAAGATTTATGAGCCAGAATCTTGATTTCTTTGTCAGGGAGAAGAAAAACACTGTCCTCTTCTGGTAAAGGGAAGAGCCAGGAAAAAAAATGCAGAAGGGGGCTGTCTCAGAATTTACTGGCTCCCACCTGGCTGGTTTTGGTTTTTTTTTTTACTTGATGTTCATGTCTGGGCCTGTAAATGCTTGTGGGGATTGTATCAGGCTGGTTGTAGCCTGTGACAGTCAGAAAAAACAGATCAGACCCTTGCCACTTCTTGTGTATGCTGAAAGGCTCCCTTCCCTGTACTGGGACGTGTCATCCCCAGCAGACCCCAGCTCACCTCGCCTCACTGCTACACCACATCTCTAGTGTGTTGGGCATCTTTCACCCGAAGACACCTCAATTCCCTAACCCAGCAGTTCCCAACCTGCGGTCGATGGACCCCTGGTGGTCTGCAACGGTACTGCAGGGGGTCCACAGAAAATTTAAAAGGATCGGGCCCACTTTTCTTTTCACCCCCAGGGTGGGGTGTCCGTGAAATGTTAATAAACCGAAAAGGGGTCTGTGTGCTCGAAAAGGTTGGGAACCACTGCCCCATCACCCTGTACTTCTTACCGTATCCCAGCGCTTCCCTATCCCCCCCAACCTCCCTACAGCTCCTCATCTCCCACCCCACCTGTGCGCTGGACTATTTACCCCAGGCTCCTAGAACCCCCAACTGTCCCCTGTACTTCTTCCCACCCCATCCATCCCCCAGCAGGTCTGTGTGCTCGAAAAGGTTGGGAACCACTGCCCCATCACCCTGTACTTCTTACCGTATCCCAGCGCTTCCCTATCCCCCCCAACCTCCCTACAGCTCCTCATCTCCCACCCCACCTGTGCGCTGGACTATTTACCCCAGGCTCCTAGAACCCCCAACTGTCCCCTGTACTTCTTCCCACCCCATCCATCCCCCAGCAGCTTCCCATTC